CTGTTCCACTGCTTTACACCCCTAAAAAAAGAAGTTTTCCGTAATACCCAATCTAAAACTCCCCAGTGCAACCTGAAGCTGTTTCCTCTTGTCCTGTCACTAATTCCCTGGGAGAGGAGACTGAAACCACCTCACTGTCAGGGAGCTGTGGAGAGTGAGAAGGTCCCCCCTGAGCCTCCTTTTCTCCAGGCTGAGCCCTCCCAGCTCCCTCAGCTTCTCCTGGTGCTCCAGACCCTTCCCAGCTCTGTTCCCTTCTCTGGACACTCCAGCCCTGTGCCACACTCCTCTTTCCCAGAGCGTGCACTCACACTGGTAAAACCCACCCAAGACAAAGTTTATCTCCTGCTCCCTCCTGTCACACAGGGCAGGGTTCCACATCAGGGCCAGCATCCCAGCAGCCCTGTCCTGAGGCAGGACAGAAATCCCTGCCAGCGTGGTGACATCAGATCCCCCACCAGGAGATGCTCCCAAACCTCAGAATGCTGTGGGATGACCCCCAGCAGCACGGTTTGGCTCAGGCTGCTGTTCAGCCTCTCTCTGTCAGAACATGCAGGGTCCCCAGCAGTTTTCCCACGCTGCTGGGGGGGAGTGGGGGTTTCGGGAGGTTTGGTGCCCCTGGGCTGTTCCCGTGGGGCTGGAGCTGCTCCCTGTGGCCAAGCACGTGTTCCCCTGGCTGTGCTGGGGAGTTTCGCCGGGGCTGCGTGTCCAGGCAGGCTCCCAGCTGCTCCCAGCCCCACTGGGAAGGGAAGGGAAGGGAAAGGAAGGGAAAGAAGGGACAGGTTTCAGGGAAAGCGAGAGAAGCAGCCTAAAACAGGTGATCAGCTGGAGCCCACTGGCTCTTCCACAAATCCCAGGGAAAAGTCTCTCTGTGATCAAGCCAGGATCCAAACTTGTCTCCTTTGTCTCCTTTCAGAGCTATTTAACTGCTGTGTTTAATTAATTAGTGGTAGAAAAGGATTCTGCTCATTGGCACAACTCAACCAGGAGCCCCCTTTGCCCTCCTCCTGTGGGATCTGGGAATCAGCTGAACTCCCAGAGGTGCTGCCTTTGCTCAGAGCTGTGCCCTTGATGTTCCACAGACACTTCCAGGGCTCCAGATTCTGTGTTTGCACACCTCAGATTGCACCCAAAAACCTGCAGGTCCCAGCCAAGGTAAACTGGAGCCAGCTCAGAGCTGCAGCACCAGCAACTGCTGAACCCAGCATCCCACAAATGTGGCCTCAAACACTGTCCCATAAATCCTACAGGGTCCAGGGGTCCTTACAGGATTCCCTGTATTCTCCTCACCTTTAGGAACAGACTATTAAATGTCCACACCCTTTAAATCACGGCCAGCTGCAGTTCCTGTGCACAGGCAAAGCCCCCAGTTCCTGTAAAAACCCTTCCCCAGAAGAAAAAAATAAAGGAGATTAAATGATTCATAGCATTTGTATGGGGAACAAAATTTTTATGGGTTTGTTTTTGCTTTTGTTTTTCATTTCAAGTCTTTTCAGACTCAGTTTAAAAAACAAATCAAGCCCATTCTCTTCCCTTCCTCCTGGTGACAGGTTGCCCAGATGCCTGTCTGGGTCAAGGGGACACTGCTGGATTTTGTTTTACCATCTGGTATCACCCAGCTCTGCAGATTTTTTAACCTTTTAATTCTCAGTAGCATTTCATGCTTTGCTAATCCCATCATTTCTCCACGTTTGCTTTGTGAACTTTCCAGAATGATTCTCCTCAAATCCCACCATCAGCAGCCTGGGTGTCAGGGCTGGTCCTGAACTTTCCAGAATGATTCTCCTCAAATCCCACCATCAGCAGCCTGGGTGTCAGGGCTGGTCCTGAACTTTCCAGAATGATTCCTCTCAAATCCAACCATCAGCAGCCTGGGTGTCAGGGCTGGTCCTGAACTTTCCAGAATGATTCTCCTCAAATCCAACCATCAGCAGCCTGGGTGTCAGGGCTGGTCCTGAACTTTCCAGAATGATTCCTCTCAAATCCAACCATCAGCAGCCTGGGCTGCTCCTGAGCAGGAAGAAGAAAAAATTTCCCCTGCTGAGCCACAGAAGATCAAGTGCCACATTCAAAGTCAGAACTAAACCTCCAAGAAAGGAGGTAGAGAAGAAGGCAGAGGTTCTCTGAAGCCAGGATGGAGCTGCTGCAGGTGACAGTGTCAGGCTGGCACTGGAATCTCTCTCCTCCTGCCAGGGCTGTTTCCATGCTCAGAGTTCCTGGAAGGCTCAGATGCCTTTTCTGCTCATCCCACAGAGCCACAAGGGCCAGGGGAAGGAAGGGAGAGCTGGGCACAGAACTGCCAAAGTTGTTCTCTCAGTGCAAGAAGCAGGAAAGGGGAGAAAAACCAGTGACTTCTGCATTGTTTGAAAACTTTCTGCTCTTCTCCACAGCATCCTTGAATATCAGTATGTTCTCCTCCAAAATTCCAAGAGAAACCTTTGGAATTGAGTGAGGTCTCACCTTCAGTCTCAGAACATGTCTTTTTGTTTAGTTTGGGGGCTAA